GTCTCTGGAGGAGATGAGGCCCGGAGCCGCCTGGTTCCCGTAAGCACAACAGAGCCGAGAGAATCAAGCTGGCATGCAGCACTCTGGTTGCTGTTCCCAACAAAGGATGAATCCGAAACCTCCAGGGCGCGCGGCGAGCCGCTCACTCAAGGAAGTATATAGTCCGGAATGCCGTTCTTCCAGCTTGTCCTTGGGATAGCATTGCAGGTAGGCCACACCCCTGGGGAAACTCCCCTTGGGCAGACCGGCCGCTCAGAACTCAGTCATGTGATCCATCATGGGAACCACCACTCACAACTGGAGTCCAGCCAAGTTGACACATCTTCAACTATCACAAGGTTCAAACCACAAACCTTTTGGTTGGCAACTGAGCACTTTAACCACTGCACCACCAAGGCTCCTTGGATATCTCTAGTTTACTCTAATTTTAACTTTTTACAAGCTGTCATCAAAGCTTTCCCATGTTGCTTCACTTATGGGAAGCATTTAGTCATTTACTAATTTAATGGTAGTTAAACATCCTTAGCCCTAGAAATTTGTAGTGAAACATTTCCAGTGAAGATTTATTGAGATTGGTGAATAATATGCGTTAGACTGTTTTGCAGTAGTATTTCAGTGCTTTCTATGAGATGCATTTAGATTGGGGACAGTTAGGAAGGAACACTGTATGCTGCTGGCATCCTTTGTGGCATCCTTTGGGAATGAGGGTACAAATAACATATTGGGGTTGGGGGATGAACAGGCTCTACTGAAGGAGTAAAAGAGTTTCGTCTTAGGGTGACCCCTCTGGTCAATTTATGTTTTTCTTTCCCTACATCATCCTATGTCAACTTCTGGTTAATCACTTCTGAATCTCAGTATGTTCTGGATTAAATTTTCAGATTAGCTAGGCTTGCTTATATCTGAGTTTGTTTTTCTGTTGTCAGGACGATTGTTAATAGCCAGTTGAGAATGTTTTCCAAAGATCAGAAATCCTTAGAGGTGTGAGTGGTCTGTGAATTAGAATTGTATATAAAATGTTCCTCTGTGTGTGTGTGTGTGTGTGTGTGTGTGTGTTCTGGACAGAGGGGCCTTAACTTTGAACTTTGATCAGCTTCCGGGAGCCTGTTGTTGTCATTGTTGTTAGATGCCATCGAGTAGGCTCTAACTCATAGGGACCCTTTGTATAACAGAATGAAACACTGCCCGGTCCTGTGCCAACCTCACAGTCCTTGCTATACCTGAGCCCATCGTTGCAGCCACTGTGTCGGTCCATCTCATTGAGGGCCTTCCCCTTTTTCGCTGACCCTCCACTTTACTAAACATGATATTCTCTCTAGGGAATGGTCCCTTCTGATAACATGATGATGAAGTCTGGTCATTCTTTTTTCTAAGGAACATTCCAGCTGCACTTCTTCGAGGACAGGCCTGCAGCCCCCAAGATTCTGAGAAAGATTGTTTTAGACCAGGGCTTCTCAACCTTAAGTTCATTGGCATTTTGGGCCTGGTGATTGTGGGGGTGGTCCTGTGCACTGTAAGATGTCTAGCACCATCCCTGGCCTCTACCCACTAGATGCTTCTCTTCCCCCATTTGTGATAACAGATTTGATTTGAATCATTTATGGTTTTCTTGCATAGCCAGAAGAGTATATATAGCTAATGTATGGTGTTATAACTTACAGTTTAAAGTGAACTCTAGTTTACTTTGAGCTCTGGAGTGACAAGAAAGACTAAAGGGTTAGAGTAAGTGGAAGTATTATGATAAAATACTTAAAATACGTGTGTTTATTTACACACACACACGGACACAGAAAATACTTCCAGTCATTAAACATATATGGTACAAGTGATTAACACATTCAGTTGCTAGCCAGAAGGTTGGCTTTTTGAGTCTACCCAAAGATGCCTTAGAAGAAAGGCCTGGTGATGATCTACTTCCACAAAAGTAGCTGTTGATACAGTTCTACTCTAACTCATGGGTCACCATGAGTCACTGTGTTAAACAGTTCACATGCATTATCTAAATCATCAGATCCTTCTGAAAGGGTAGAGGCTACTCATTTTATGTATAAATAAGAGATGCTTATAGAGGTTAAGAAATTTGTCCAAGGTTAAAAAACTGGGAATGGAATAAAAATCTACCTAGTGTCACATCAAGGAGCACTGGTGGCTCCTTGGGAGAAAGATGAGGCAGTCTGCTTCTGTAAAAGATTTACAGCCTTGGAAACCCTACCAGGCAGTTCTGCTCTGTCCTGTAGGTCACTGTGAGTCAAATTGACTCTACAACAACATGTTTGGTTTGGTTTTAGTGTCAAATCAGCTTCTCTGTGCCCTTTAGCCTGGATGTGGTATTAAAATGTCTCCCCAGGCCAGTGGGCCAAACCCATGTCACAGTGGCCTTGGCTGACATGTGTTGGTGTAGAAGTGCCTGGCACAAGTAGGGAATTTATGGTTGCTGGAATGTATCATTAAACAAAATAAGTGCTAGGATTTCTGGTGTTTTTGTTTTTTCTTTGCAGTTTGTTGTGTGTCCGAACTGAATTATCACTGATAACTATCTTAGGCAAGGGACAAGTTTTTTTTTTTTTCCCAACAGCTTGTTCCTGTATGTATCATATCAGTATCTGAAAATGAAGTTGACTCTGATTTAAGTGCTCCGTTAATGTAATGTATTATGCCTTTGGTGAATGTGAAGAGGTCTGCGCTCCACAGCCTGCTTATGGTTAATACCCCTGGAGTATGGACACTGATAACCAGAGGTTGCAGTTCATCACAATTAAATGTGGCATTTATTTTATGAAGATTCTTTAGTGTATTGATTTAGGGCTTAAAAAAATTCTGGAAATTGATGTGAGCAGAGCAGATTCCAGATACAAATGAGATCACGTCTCTCTAGTTGGTAGCATTGGGGACTCTGTCTCTTTTATTTGTTGTCACCTGTGCTTCTTAGAGTGGCGTTAAAAACTTTTCACCATTTTGCCAGGGCCATCTTTCTCCCCTGCTTCTTGTTGCTTCTCCTGAGGGTCTAGCCTTCCGTGTTACAGCCCCCTCTGTGCAGAATTTGCTTTGCACTTCTACCCTCTTGCGCCCACTCGGTCCCTCTCTCTGTCTTGTTCTCTCTCCGTCCTTTCTTTTCTTCTTCTCTCCCTTTATTTTTAAATATATTTGTGGTAACTGGCTCTTAGTAAATATTTGTGCTATACGTATTACATAAGGAGGTGTTGTGAAGCACACAGTGTGTGGCATGAAGAAGGTGCTTTCTAAAGTAGTTATGCTTACCCTCCCAGTGTCCTGCAGCAACGGTGACCACAGGTCAATGCACTTGCAGTCCACTTTGCCATCTAGAGTGAGCTTCCCAACTATAACAGGGGCCAGGACTTAGTTTGCCTTGCACAGGGTCTGACAACTGGGAAAATTCGTCATCGTTGTGTTAGGTGCCATCGAGCTGATTGCAACTCATAGCAACCCCATGTAACAGAGTGGAACTGCACCCATAGGGTTTCCTAGGTTGTAATCTTCATGGAAGCAGTTTGCCAGGCCTTTCTCCCATGGAATTGCTGAATAGGTTCAAACCACCAGCCTTTTGGTTAGCAGCCAGGTGCTTTATTGTTTGCACCACCAGGGCTCCTTTGGGAAGATTCACTAAGCTTTAAATGAAGCACTCTTTTCTTTTTCCAATATATCAGTATATTGGAAGTGGAAAAGAGAATGCAGAACAGACCTCAAATGACAAGTCCTGGTCATTTCCCTAACTTGAGAACCATTCAGTGAAGTACTTGTAACCTCTGTGTACATCTTGGCACTTCTTTGCTTGGCTTTGTCCCTGGCTTAGTGCTCATCGAGGTGATGGTACTTAATGTTTCTCTCCAGGATACAGTAAAGGATAAAACCTCATCTGCTATTTGAGCAGGCTTACTGCAGAACCAGCTGGGAGTCGGTACATTTCCACGTCCCCCGGTCTGCTGAGTAGAAAGTGGGAAGCCGATAAGGCTTTGAGATGTGTAGAAAAGGAGAACAGATCTTTTCATCTTTTGCAGTGTCTCTGCTTGAGATAGAGACTGTTATCGCCAAGGGCCTAGACAGTCTGCCCAGTAGTCTCCTGCAAGCTACAAGCACATGGAGGTGTGCCAGAGGGCCCACTGCAGTGCTGTTGGGGTTTTAGAATTCCATGGACAAGTAACAGTTGGAAGAATGCATTCAAAAAAGTTTTTGGTGTTCCTATTGGCAAAACTGACCTAGGCACTTTTATTTCTCTTTCCACAGAGTGATCAGCAGCTGGACTGTGCCTTGGATTTAATGAGGCGCCTGCCTCCACAGCAAATCGAGAAAAACCTCAGTGACCTGATTGACCTGGTATGTGCCTTGTTCGTATGGTTTCATTTGGAACTGTGGCACATAATTCGTTGCTTTTGTGTAGCTTTTCCTGTGTAGAATTCAAAATACACCGGAAACCTTCTCCCTCCCTCTCTCTCCAGTCAGACACTGAGCTCTGAGATTCCTCCAGGCAGAGAGAAGATGAGCTTCATATGGTTATCTCTTTTTCAGAACCATCTGTGTTGATAAAGCTTGATCTAGGAGTTCTAAAGTTAATTACAGTCTGTGGGTGCCTCTCCCCAACTCCCTTGTCTTCAGTTCCTGGTACCTTGCATCTGGACATGGTGAGAAAGAGCTACACTCAACCAACAGACACTCAGCTCTGTCAGCGATACCAGCCTTTATTAGGCTCCAGCCAAAGCAGTTTCTGCTCTGTGCGTTTCTCTAGCCAAAGCAATACACATATTTCCCCTGTAAGGTCTTCATTAGCTTCTTCATTTCTGCTTGAAAAGGTATAAAAGCAAAATTTGGCTTTTAAAGCACTCATCACATCTATGTTTATATAATATTCAGTTCCTTTTTTTAGACTCAAAATGATGCATCAGCTTAACTGACACCATATTATTATTTGAAATGCTCAGAATGGTTTTAAAAATTCTGTTTCATAAGACACTTAAGGTAAATTACTAACATTTATAAAGTCATGGGAAATATTAAAAAGTGTGTGTAGGGAGTATCAGGCTTCAAGAGGCCAATTAAGTTAAACCTAGATCTTTTGGCCATTAAGTTCTGGCACCAGAACTGACACCTGGGTCCTCTGAGCCCAGATTCTCTGTCCTTTTCTCTGTGTCGCTTGTCTTCTTGAATGGAATCAACAATTGTCAAATGTGGCTCATCAATGAAGTATATTTTAAAATCGTGGTTCGAAACTTGTACATGTACCATAGTGATACATTTAATTCCATCATGAGAATTCAGTACAAGTTTTACTAAGTAAAAACATTACTGTAGAAGACTTGTGCCATTCATAGATGAGACTCTTCACAGTGATCTGGAAAGTGCATAGTGCACAATGCTGCTGTTTGTGTGTTTATAAGGGTACAAACTCTCAGCTGAGAAGCTGATTTGTGAGACTTTTGAAGGAGTTACGAACTTACTATATTTTATATGCAATAAGTTCAGAAGTGAGAAAAAGGTGGTTTCTTGAGGTAAATGGCCCTGACAAGAAAGCTAGGTGCTTGTGATGGAATTGAAGAGAAGAAAATGGATGTAGAAAAGTGATGGTTCCTGGCCAGAGTTTTAGATGAGTATTAGAGAATAAAAGGTTGAATTGTGATGAAAATGAATCCACTGTATACTCAGAATCAAGAATCACAGACGAAGAGCCAGTGAGTGACATAAATGAATGCAGTAGATTTGGTGGGGGAAAAAAGGATTGGTGAGTCTGAGGACCACCTGAAAGGGCAGCTGCCTCTGCTTCAGTCAGGGTGGGATCCTCTGTTGCTTGTTTTTACATTTCCTGGAGGAACCATGTTGTTGTTGTTGTCAGCTTGCTGGTGAGTTGGCTCCGACTCATAGCAGCCCTATGTACTACAGAATGAAACACTGCCCAGTCCTGTGCCAGCCTCACAATCCTTGCCATACCTGAGCCCATCGTTGCAACCACTATGTCAATCCATCTCATTGAGGACCTTCCCCTTTTTCTCTGACCCTCCACTTTACCAAGCATGATATCCTTCTCCAGGAAATAGTCTCTTCTATGAACTGTGCATTTGGACATTAAGGTGAAATGTCCTGATTTTTAAACATTGCCCCAAGTATTAGGTTGATTGGATTTGACTTTGTGTAGAGTCTTTGTATAAGTGTAAGAAATGTGTGGTGGGGGTGGGAAGCAGTGTGGGCTGTGAGGGTTAGAGGAGACAATCTTTCTAAGGAAGTAGTAAAATATAAAGTTGGATCACTGGGATACATCCTTGAAAGTTAGAGGGAGGACTTGAATTTGATGTGATAGTAATTGTCACCATCGACAGCACATTGTGCTAAGCTGTTTATTTGCATGGCCTTACTTTACTCTCACCAGTACTTTAAGATGACAATACAAAGTACACTCTGGGAAGTGCTGTACACAGTCTTAGTATTTCTCTTGGTCAGAAATATATTATTGATTCTATGTGGAAGAGTTGGGTACAAGTTGAAGATGTGATCAGATCCTTAATTTTGTCAGTTGCAGAAGCTGCTTTTTCTTCAGTATGAATACTTCCTTCTTTAAGTAATGTCTTAGTTTCTTTTAGTGCTGCTATAACAGATATCCCACTCAAGTAGGTGGCTTTAGCAAACAGATCTATTTCCTCACAGTTTAGGAGGTTAGAAGTCCAAGTTCAGAGTAACAGCTCTAGTGGAAGGCTTTTTCTCTCTGTTGGCTCTAGGAGAAGGTCTTTGTCTCTTTTCAGCTTCTGTTCTTGGGCATACTTCATGTGGCATATGTCTTCCCCTCCGTAAGTGCTTCCTTCTTTGTACCTCATTTACTCTTTTTATATCTTAAAGGTGATTGACTTAAAATCTATCCCACTCTGAAATGGTCTAATTAACAAAGCAAAGAAAGTCCTATTCGCAAATGGGATGACATAGAGTTTAGGATTTACAACACATATCACATATAGTGTGTGTATGGGGGGGGCATAGTTCCATCCATAACAAGTATAACATATGTTTGGCTGAGTTTAAGTTTAGTTAGCCAATTCAGCTATTAGCAAATTTTGGAATATTGCCACAGTGGCTGTAATAGTGGGCGCAAGCACAGCAAGGAATGGGGGGGCTGGTGCAGGACCAGGCCGTGTTTTGTTGGATTGTACGTGGGGTTGCTGTGAGTTGGAACCAACTTGATGGCACCTAACAACAACATATTTTGGGAATAAACCAAACATAGAAGTTAAAAGTAATGAGCAGGTTGTTCTCAGTGGAGTCTTCTTGGTATTTAACAGGGTACTTTGTTCTTATGGACATAGAAGTGTTTTCTTACTATAGCTGTGTCTTTTTCTCTCTCATGCCCTCAACCACTTTTTATTTCAGAGATGTGCATGTAGCTACTTTTTTTTTTTTTTTAAATCTGGCCAGCTGGGTTGCTGGCTGCATATGCCAAATTTACTTGGGCTCAACAGGGAAATGACAGCATTGGTAGTGAATGAAAAGAAAGCAGCACAAGCCATCTTTCACCAAAGCCAAGTGCTGGCTGTGAGAGATCAGCCCTGAGGTTTAACTTGCAGGATGGTACTTAGACGTTGGTTGAAACACCAAACTGTCTGTCTTACTGATAATAGGATGTACTATATTGCATTTCATAGATTATTGTCAGCATGCACTCACTACTTTTTTCTTCCACGTTGTCTTCTGTAGAATGTGTCCTAGAGATGCAGTTGAGTCAGACCAGGGTTGTGAGGATAGCCCACCGACATTGGCTGGATACCTCTTACATGCCCAGAATTCTGTTTGTATTAATTCATTTAATTTTCACCATACTCCTTTAAGGTGCATATGATCACTCCACCTTTCAAAAAAATTCAGAGAGCGTCAGGTCAGGCTGCATAACTTCCTGCACACAGGTAGTATTCAAATACCAAGCCTGACTGGTTCCCAAGCCTGTGTTCTTTTTCTTTGTGCCTGTCTTTTGGCTTTCTCATCTGCCGTATATCCACAGAAATAGTAGGTGGAACAAGGAAGGAGTACTAATTATTGAAACTAGATGCTAAAAACCTATCCTCTGTGCAAATTGCATGGTGAGGAAAAGTCCAGGGTGGTAGTGTGGCACTTGGCAGCTCCAGGGACCCTGATTGCTCCTCCTTGTATGCTCTGCTGGCTGGGTACTTTGAGCCCAATCACTCACACTCAAAGTGACAGATTAAATGTGGTCTGTCTGTTTTACCTGTTTGGAGGGAGAAAGTGTTAAATAATTCATCAGTAATCTAAAATGTTTTTATTAAAACAGATAAATTATGGAGAATAAAGTTCATATAAATATATAGGGTAAAACTAGAGCCTTGGAAGAAACTCCCTTCTTAGAGACAGGTCATTTAGGATTTACAGTTTGTTTTGTCTGTCACTTCCTGAGGAAGCTTGAGAGGCACCAGCTTTCCCTTGCTAGGATTTTGTGGGAGAGGCCAGGCTTGGGCCCTGTCTACCTCATGAGACTGAACAAGAGGCCGTAATAGATTTCCCATCATCCACAAAGGGTTGGGGAATCCCTGCTCTTATTATAATTGTATTTTAATTGACATATGATGAATGTCAAAATGGAAATGGTGCATGACTTTCAACAAATTAGAATCTGTAAAGCGTGCCTCGTTAAAACTATATTGATGTGCTTCAGAAGCTGTTTTTTATTGTCTGGCTTCCAGATCCTTAGGATGTACTGTAAGTGTATAACGGGCAGTTGTACTGGAGCCTATGGCCAATTGTAAAAATTACTTCTTTAAATGTTATCCAGTCATCAGTGCCATCGTTTCCTGTTGTCCCCAGGAGTAATTGCTTTTCTTTTTAAAAAAACTGAATTTGCATATTTCTTTTATTTTTGTAAAAGCTGGTCTGTGGTGGGGTGTACTGTTATAATTCTGAAGTCCACATGCAATTTTAGTTTTCTTCCCAAAGCTGTTGATTTCAGAAAATTCACACAGTGATGATTCCCTGTAGAAGCCAAGTATCTAGATCTTTGTTTCATGTGATCTGGAATCAGTCAGAAGTTTCCTGAGCAGCTAATGCACCACTCACTTGGTGCAAATTACATTCATTCCTCCTGTGCTCACCTGCCTAAAACAACACAGGGGAGGCGGTTGTTTTCAAGAAGTCTCCAGTTTTAAGACGGACAAGAATGTTAGGATTTGCCAGCATTCCCCATGAATGGTATGGCATCGCTTAGATGTCAGAGCCAGAGAACTGTAGGGGAATTTATCCGGTCCACCAGTGGTCTGATTACAGAATAGTATTAAAGAGAAATGTGGCATATGCTTGGCAGCCAGACCAAGGCAGCCCAATATATCTTGCCAGAT